ATAAGAAGAAGAGGTATGTACCAAAAAAAGATAAGAAGAAGAGGTAATCCCGAACTCTCCTTCCATGTTCAGAACAGAAAATATTTCCCAATTGTCCAACTTCTCGACTGGGTACACACGATCACCAAGAAAAATTTAGGTATGAAATGAAACAAGGAAGGCTCCTGGAGATAGGGCACAAAGAAGTATAAAAGGGCATCCAATCTACAAATTCTAAACCATCCAAGGAGAAAGATGTCTCTCAAATACTTAACATTGTTCTTCATTGGTGCAGTGGTTCTTACCACTCCCTCCCTGGCTGATTACCAGAAGCCACCTCAACATGAGCACAAGCCACCAAGTCCTTTCACTAGTCCTCCCAAGAACAAGCCTGAACCACCAGTTTACCCACCTCCAAAGGCAGAGAAACCACTACCAGAGCACAAACCACCAATGCCGGCTCCTAAGCCTCCTAAACCTGAGAGGCCATTCCATAAGCACAAGCCACAACCACCAGTTTACCCACCTCTAACGGCAGAGAAGCCACTGCTAGAACATGAACCACCAGTGTTAGCTCCTAAACCTCCTAAATCAGAGAAGCCAGGTCCTGAGCACAAGCCACCAAGCCCAGTTCACAAGCATCCTAAAACAGAAGAGCCAAAACCTGAGCACAAGAAACCAACTCTGCCTCCCATGGTAGGAGCACCAGCCCCAATGCACAAGCCATTACCACATCATGGTCACTACCCTGGACACCCTCCAAGGAAGGAAGCTGAAGCTCCTCACAGACCACCCAGGAGGATGATGCCTCCTCCTCATGAGAAGGCACCTAGCCCATATTAAAGGTCACCCCATGGCCCTCCATCACCTTGCCATGCATATTGAGTTTTACACTTATAGATATCTTTAATTACAAAATAAGAACTTATGGGACTTATCATCTTTATTGAGGAGGATTGTTCATGTCATTGCTCATTGTAGTGTTTCTTATTTGTTATCTGCGTGTAGCTAATGAGCAAATTATAGTTTCTCTTATTTACTGCTTAGAGTTTCCTTTGTATGGATTTTCGTTTACATTTATCTATACATGTTTTCCTTCTAGTCTTCTCCCTGAGTGTTTTTTAACTAAGATCAGGAGAATTCTGTTTTTGTTTCCATTGCATGAAATATGGTTGGCATAGAGAAGACATCAGTACAGCCACAGAGATTATTAGTCATAAACATAACCCAATTTGTTCCTAAAAGTCACTCTGATCATTCAAAGCATAAGCTACTGATTTGATAGGATTTGACTTGAAAAGTTCATTTTAGTGTTAACCTAAGTAAAATCTATAAAAAAAAAAGGGGGTAGGTAAGAAATGCCCACGAAGCTTCATATACAAGGGTCGTGGATGTACCACACCTGCTTCACTTGCCAACGTGTCGACGACTATTCAAGAAGAGTAACAGACTGATCTGCCCGCCATTAGGCTTTTCATCCGCTGCAATAGCAAAAATGGTGCGGAGTGTTAGAATTCCTTCAGTCTGACTGTTTATAATTGAACAGAATTCCTTCAGTCTTACTGTTTGTAATTGAACTTGAAGGAATAAAACCAACTTTACAGGAATACTAAGACCTATTTGCTACCTTACAAGCTAGACCGGGGTTTTGAGAAGGAAATTTGGGAAATATTTGTTAAAATTACTAAACCGCAAATTTTCATCACAGTTTCCAAAATGAATCTAACTTTAGGCATACTTCAAGCAAGGATAGTCACTTGATGCAAAAATACTGTTTTGAAAGGCTAAGATCCAGACATTAAGGTCTGCAGGTTCCAATATATCCTCACAAAATGTTATGGAAATCAAAGCTCTGTCCACAATTGAACTGTTCTCATACCTTGGATGAACCTCAGCACTTTGTCTTCGTGTCTTTCAATCAACTGTTTATTTCACCTCTGTTAAATAAGAAACAAAATGAAAACTGTAAACAGAAACAGAGGAAAACAGAATGACCACAGAATAATTCTCATCTAGAAGTCAAAAAAGGACGATATTGAATGCAAACCTTGAATTCATAACAAAGCAAAGTTAGCTAATTTCATCTTTTGATTTTTCACAAACTCGTTCCTTAGCTACTGGAGGAGTGGACTGTATCAGCAGATTAACATTGTTCATCCCAAGCCATATGGCTGATACAGATTCCAATTTGTCGGCACAATTTGTCGGCACCAGACTTTCTACTGTGCCTATTAATAGCGTTCTTGTAATCTCCTATTACTTGTCCTAATTTATGTACTGTTGTAAGTTAAAGATAAGCAAGTTCAATAATAAAGCATTTAATGTGAAATCCTGTAATCAATCACGCCCAACACTTCGTAAACAGAAGCAATATTACAGTTCTCCGGGCAAACCTATCCTCCCTGAATCACTGAAAGAAAATACATTTTCTCTTGAAACAATGCCACTATTTCCTTTTGCCATATTAGAATCTGGATTTGTTTTGTTCATAAGGACTTAATAGCTGATTACCTTTAACAAGGGCCCCAGGTATGATTATAGAACTACACTCAAGCAATATGCATGTCCTAACCTTCTCCAATATTTGGAAGGCCTTTGCCCAATAGTCAACAATTTGGGGTTGCTGGGACCCAAATGGACCTAACCTCATTTATGAATGAAATTAATAAATCTTGGTTCGCTTCGAGATTGGATTATGAAAAAGCGCGATTTTGACACCTGGACTGAAATTTGAGCCTCCATGCCACTATAAAAGGCAGGGCTAGTACTCGTTTTTCACCATCAGAAAACAATTTCAAAGATGTCTCTTCCTTACTTGATACTATTGCTCCTTGGAGTGGTAGTTCTCACCTCTCCCTCTCTTGCACATTATGAAGAACCACCCAAGTATGAGCACAAACCTCCCGAGATCAAGAAGCCACCATTTTACAAACCTCCTGAGATCCAGAAGCCTCCATTTTATAAACCTCCCAAAGTGGAGAAGCCATTCCCAGAGCCTAAGCCTAAACCACCAGTTTATGAACCTCCTAAAGTAGAGAAACCCAACCCACCAACTTATGAACCCCCCGAAGGAACGAAGCCATTCCCAGGCTACAAGCCACCAACCCCAGTCTATGAACCCCCTAAGAAGGAGAAACCTGAACCAGAACACAAGCCGCCAACCCCCATTTACGAACCTCCTAAGAAGGAGAAGCCAGAGCCAAAGCCACCAACGCCAGTTTATGAACCCCCTAAGAAGGAGAAGCCAGAACCAAAGCCACCAACCCCAGTTTATGAACCGCCTAAGAAGGAGAAGCCAGAACCAAAGCCACCAACCCCAGTTTATGAACCGCCTAAGAAGGAGAAGCCAGAACCAAAGCCACCAACGCCGGTTTATGAACCCCCTAAGAAGGAGAAACCAGAACCAAAGCCACCAACTCCAGTTTATGAACCCCCTAAGAAGGAGAAGCCAGAACCGAAGCCACCAACTCCAGTTTATGAGCCTCCTAAGAAGGAGAAGCCTGAACCAGAACACAAGCCATCACCACCTTATGGTGAGTACCCGGGGCATCCTCCAGTAGAGAAGCCACCCACTCCATACTACAAGCCACCTTATGGTCAGTATCCAGGACACCCCCCATTGGAGAAGCAACATACTTCATAGTTCCAGGCACCGCAGTAGCACTCATATTTAAATAAATTTGAACCTACAAATAAGAGCTGCTGTGCTTTCTTGTTTCTGTTGGTGGATCAGATATCTCAAGTAAGAACTGGCCATATCAGTACTTGTTGTAATGTCTGCTTGTAGCTAATGAGTATAACCTGACTTGTCTCATGTGAATGCCACCTGCAGTGAATTTGTATTGTATAATGTTTCCTTCTTATATTTTTCTTTTTTGCCAGTTTGAACCCCTGAATAATACCTACATGGAGAAAAATGTTACCAAATTAGAGACATAACATTGTCAAAGAAACTTTTGGCATGATGAATGTTTAAAGTAACCAATCTTCATATCACCAAGGATCGTCAAGATAACATATCACATACGTGATTGAGAATGTATGAAATGAATTTAACCTATATGAGCAGCATTTGAATTAATCAAATTAAGCACAGAATGGTCAAGATATATTTCTCTAACACTACACAAATCACTTTTAAGCACATAGCACGTTTAAGTTTAAAATGAAATCAGGATGGCATGTTGCTGAGGAAATTTAAAAATCACAGTTAACATGCCAGGAGAATGACAATCTTACATTATGACATCGTTTTTTGGAAATAATAGAATATAACATCCATCATGTCACACTGGCACAAATCTTAGTTTCCCCATGTTAATATGGTATGTTAATAAATTCTTCCCCAAATAGAGAAAGAGCCAGCAACTCCAACAATCACAAGCAACCAACACAGAACAGCATTCTCTTTGCACTGCACATTCATGTAGTTCATGATGTTTATCTTCTACTAGAACAAAAAGGGAGGAAGTTGAGCGGCAGAGGAAAAAGGTTGGTTACGGATATATGCAGCTCTCACAAGTTTTAACATTTGAACAAAGAATGATAATTTAAAGAACCTTTAGTACAATGATTCTTGTACCAGGGATAGCATCAGTTTAGATATGTAATGTCTTTCTCAAGGAAAAGCCTTGAGAAAATTTTGGCCACTGCTTACCACCAACAGTTCGATATGAGATCACCATCAGTGGCGTCAGAAAAAACACTTTGATCAATTACTCTACATTCCCCTTCAAAGAGTAGCCTCTTTGATTTTATTCTCATATCTAGATAAGGTATTCATATCTCCTTAGCATCGGATTTCATGGAAAAAAACCTTTGAACCGAACAATAGCTAACTGTTCAACAACAATGGCTGTCAATATTAGAAATAGATGAGATCTGCCAATACAATTAGCTATATTGGGGCATCTGTTGAGTTTTGTCATGGCCACCAGGACGAACTTAATTATGCTCATGAGAAAACTATGATTTGCAAATAATACAACCAAAGCAACTTACTTCTATATCATTTTTTCTTCATCTTAAATCTTGACCTTTGGTTGCTCTTACATGTACTCCTCATCGGTAAACTTGGTCCCTCCATCCATGCAGGTCCCCATTGTCCTGTTTTCAGATCTATGCACAAACTCCAACCACATGTATTAATTTTGAAATAAAGCACAATGAACAAGGGACTAGAACTTTCAAGTTATCCTCACTGGAGAAAAACAAATAAATACAAATATAAGCTCTTTGATTTGAGCCGATAACTTTGATTTTCTTCTAATGCTGTCTCCTACGCAGTTTTCAAAGGCTATCTACCTACCTAAAGATCCACCTAAACCACACTCTAGTGTTTCTACATCCAGCTAACGATATATCAACTTTATATGCATTCCCTATTTTCTTACAGTCACAGCTTACAAAGTTGAGTTTTAACCATGTTCCCTGACAGTCAAGTTTCATGCTTGCATTTTCACATGATATGGACAAGCTGAAGGAAAAAAAATCATGAAAGAACTAATCTAGCTTCGCAAAGTGTCCATATTCATAACTTCTACATATAAATGCGATTGTAGGTATAATGTCAGTAGAACGGAATACAATAAATGCTTTTTCTAATGCATTCAAAGCATATCAATGGGGTGTGGTCCCCTGGACCCATCATGATAATTAGGGCGAGAGTCAGGATTATTATCTTTCACCAGAGATAATCTTGAAGATAAAGGTAGAATATGATGGATGATTGCAAACTAGTAGGAACCACCAGCTACGCGACAATCTGTCCTATAAGTCAGCTCCTAATTTGATGGCACCGACTCTTGTTGCCAATAACCTATCACTCAAAGACAACAAGAAAATCTACTCTCGCATCTTTCAAGAAATAATATAAATTTAATCGAATTCAATTAATTTTTACATATTATATATATAATTATATTTTTAAATTTATTTATTTTTAATTTTAAATTATAAAATAATAATTTTTTAATAAATATATCACACATACGTTGAATAAAAAAATATATCAATTAATGAACTTCAAAATAATTATTTATTTAAGATTACCATATTAATAGTAATGAGAAAAGTTCATTTTGGCGGAGAACGGTGTTCAATATAGATTACGAAAGCTTCCTAACAAGGTATCCTTTTTAAATTGTGCAGAAGTGTACACCTAATCTCAAAGTGTGATTAATTACTTTTAGAGACTTTTTGATTAGTATCATTATGGTGTATATCAATCAACCAACAACAAAGCAAGATAATGAAGCTAAAGAAGGGTATAAAAAAAGTCTCATTTCATACACACCCAGCATGTCATTAACTAAATGATAGTCGAATTGCTACTATTAATTCTAAATCCTTGATTAAGGGATCAAGATCAAGGGTTAAAGCCTTTATGGTAATTACGTACTTTCAATTTCATAAAGGACAGAAAAATAAAAATCACAATCAACATTTTCATGTTGCAAAATGAAAATAGCTAGTGTTATACCCAAGTAGATTAAAAATACCACATATAAAACTATATAGTAGAAATTCTTAATTGTGGGATAAAGATAAAAGGTTGAAGCCACTATAATAACAAAGTGCTTTAAATTTCATTAAAGACAAAAAAAAAAATATCACAATCTACATTTGCTCGATGCAAAATATAAATGATTATATTCAAAATACCACATATAAAACTCTCTAGTAGAAAAGTTTAGTTTGAGATCTAGAAAGGCATATTCAAAAGGAGAAAAAAAGACAATGATGAAGGTGCCCCACATGATAATCATGCAACAAGTTACCAAAAGATTTGGTATTGGTGAAAAAATGAAGATGCCCCACATATTCAAAAGTAGTATTGGTGAAAAAATGAATGCCACCATAGATGATATTTAATACCCACCATAGTTTGCATTTCACTGAAGATTTGGTAGAGGCAGTAAAGTTCCTCTTTATGCTCATCTATGCTGGGCACAACGGTTTTGTTCTTATTATATGTCCCACATCTTCAAGAATATCACTGCATGTACGTATTGAATCTGCAAATGATATAGATTGATTTTATCTGATCTTTTCACCTTATATGGGAATTCTCAAATTATTAGTATAGAGACAATTCTTTCTGTCTGTTATCTCAGTAGAATAAGAGGATAAAATATACCAGGGGTAATCGAATGAGAGGTAGATTCACTCAAGCAACTATATTGCACTTTAACATGTGTACAATACTCAGTAACTTCTAAATTATTTAGACATTTTATACAGGCTATGAGGTCCTTCCTCACTAACCCACGCTGTATGCTTTTTAACATAGTTGTAGCAGACTGAAGTCATTTTAGCAACTTTACTGTAATCTTTTGAAGTACTCATGCTGCCTCTAGACCATTTAAACTGTGGAATATTAAAAAATTTGTGAATGCTAACTTCAAACTAAACTGGACTCTATAACAAAAAGTATATACGTATGTATCCTGATTAACTGATATTCCATTATCATAAAGGATGGAGACAGTGCCTCAGAGCCAAAAAATAAAAAATGAAAAATGCTACTTAGACCCCTGCTTTAGGAACTTTTTCCATGTTACGTTCCTCCTGCTTCAATATTATTATAGGTTAGCATTTAAATATTAAACAAAAGGGAATTTATATTTGTATAATTACTAAATCTGTGAGGAAAAGCGCTATGAAAGCAATCTCAAAAGCATCCTAAAAAAAGGTTTGGAAAAGCAGTGCATAACTAGAGTTATTTATGAAGTTCATCCACTCACCATGACTCTCAATCAAATGCCAGAGTAAGTGGCTCAACCTTCAGATTCTGGGCTTCTTTTGGTCCACCAGTGCTTGTTTATTGCACCGTAACCCAGAAGAATACCTTCCAGTCCAGAATCCAAATGGACCAGATCATTGCAAAAGTCCAAATCTCTATCACTGAATTTGTTCCTGAAAACAAAAGCAGAGAAGTTGATTTGATTTGATTAAAACTTGAATTTTAAGGGTAAGAAGATCACCTATGCTGCACTCTTAGCTTATTCAAGGAAACCTTCGCAAGATTTTTGTTCATCAGATTTAGAATAATCAACTTCCAAGTAAAAGGGCAAAGTGATATAGATACGTTGAGGTGAGTTGGTTGATCATTGAATAGGTCTTACAAGCATGGACTACAGCCCCAGACCAGAAATTACATATTCTTAGAACAGAGGTTAATAACAAAGACTCTGTATGGATTATGAAACCCAGTGGAATGTCATGAAGTTTGCAACATAAACCAAATTAAAAGTATATGTTAACACCAAGAAACAAGCAGTCCAGAGGTAGCAGAACATCAGCAGACTAAAGACTCATGCAGACAAGATATAATTTTGCTACTTACAATAATCTTGAGGACAAGAAAATTGAAATCAGACGTTAGAAACAGCAAGGAATTGAAACAAATTCAGAATCCTTGATGAACTGCCTGTAATTTAGCAATCCAATAGTGTCAGAGTAAGCCACCACTGTAATTGGCAATCCTACCATGGTTATGCAGAATGACATACAGTCAATTAGAGAAAATTTAAGATTGACAGTACAGGAGCATTACATAAATTCCATATTCCACGCTAGTAGCTAAGGCTTGTAAGTGGAATGCATACCTTGTGAGGTGAATCCTTTCACCACTATCTCCAACAATGATTGCAGCAGCCTCGAGCTTTCCAGTCACCGGTCTGCATGAAAATAGGAACTGTATGTAAACCTGCTAGTAACCACAATATACCTTAGAAACTGCAAAGTAGTGCAGCCAGTGCCAGAAAATTTTACATTTTTTCAGCCAGCTAAATCTAAACTACTTATGAGTTATGATGCAGATGCAATTATGGAAAGCATATAAAACCATGAAATTAAATGATGATTTCGAGACGGTAAACAGCAAAAATCCAAGAATGGAAGAGTATAGGAATGTTAGAACCTGAACTGTCTCCAAGGATGCATCTTTTACCCAAAACCATCTAAAAAAAAGCAAGTTTTCTCCATCAAAGAGAGAAAAGAAATAACAATCAAACAATAAGAGAAAGGTCGACTTATAGAACATACATCAAACACTTTATCTACACAAACTGGAAATTCGTTTTTCTTCTGTATTAGTAAATGAAAATCTATGAACTCTTCACGAGAAATTTTCCTCTTCCAATTCAAACCTTGAGATGGAACGGGAAAGATAAAGGAAGGGAAGGCTTATCCCGTGTTGTGTTGTATGACCCATCATCTAATCTACCAAAAAAAAATAATAATAATAATAATTAGGTTATTATTCATGGAAACACATCGATCTTGGAGGCCAAATGCTCGTTTAAACTTAATTTTCTCCATTTTCCCTTTTTTTTACCACTGAAAAATAAAAATAAAAATAAAAATTAGTAAATAATTTTCCTGTTTTGGAAAAAAATCTGAGTCACGGGATAATCAGTTACTTAAACAACTTGCTAAACAAATATTTATTCCTTGCTGCCTAAGTAAAATCTAGATTCCTTCCTCATATAAATATCCATCTGAATCTCCTTCTACATCCTCATTCAGAAACCCTTTGAAAACCCTAATTTCAAATCCTTCTCTCTTTACCCTTCTACCAATGGCTTCCGGTGACTTGCCCCTTGTTTCAAATGAAACCCACCAGAACGAGAACCCTATCCTTGCTGCCACCGTCGATCAAGACGGAGATACAGCTACGGACGTTGCGGATGAGGGGTCCTTCACCTACTCAAACACTGAGAATCCATGCCTCAATTTCTTCTTCCACACTGTGCCCGCCATGCCGTCTGATGTTATCATTGATCGGTTGGAAGAGGCATGGTCTTATGATCCTTTAACCACTCTCAAGCTAATCTGCAACCTGAGAGGAGTCCGTGGGACTGGAAAGTGTGATAAGGAAGGGTTTTATGTGGCTGCTTTGTGGTTGCACAGGAACCACCCTAAAACCCTAGCCTGCAACGTTGGGGTTTTTGCGAATTTCGGGTACTACAAGGATTTACTGGAGATTCTTTACCGGCTCTTGGAAGGGGAGAAAGTAAGGGAAATCTCAAAGCACGAGTGGAAAGTGAATAGGGAAAAGAAAAGGGAAGCTTTCAGAATCAACAGGAGAACCAAAGGTAATAGGCGTAGTGAGAGACCTAAGGATGTTACTCTGTTTGATTTCTTTCCGAAGGATTTCAAGATGACCCAGAACGCAAGAAAGGTGAAGCTGCAGAAGGAGAGCGCCAGAGCATTGAGGAAGGAAAAGAATTACAAAAAGGCACAGAAGGCCTACGTGAGGTATACTACAGATCCCATGTATAACTTTTTGTATGATTGTGTAGCAGACTTGTTTGCTGAAGCTTTGACACAGGATTTGAAATATTTGAGTTCGGGGGAGGTTAGGAAGATTAGTCTTGCTTCGAAGTGGTGTCCATCTCTTAATTCCTCGTATGATAAGGCTACATCTATTTGTGAAATGATAGCTAGGAAGGTTTTTCCTAGGGAGTCTGATTCGGAATATGAGGGAATTGAGGAGGCTCATTATGCGTTTAGAGTAAGAGATAGGTTGAGAAAGGAAGTTCTTGTACCTTTGCGTAAAGCTCTTGAATTACCTGAGGTGTATATGTGTTCCAATCAGTGGAGTACCCTGCCTTACAACAGGGTACATTCTGTTGCAATGAAGGATTACAAAGAACAATTCTTGAGACATGACAACAAAAAGTTTAGAGGTTATCTTGAGGATGTGAGGAAAGGGGATGAGACAATTGCTGCCGGAGCATTGCTTCCCCATGAAATCATAGCTTCTTTGAAGAAGGGATCGTATAGTGGAAACGTTGCAGAGCTGCAATGGTCGAGAATGGTGGAGGACTTGAAAAAGAAGGGGAAATTTAATAACTGCTTAGCTCTTTGTAATGTCTCCGACTACGGGACTCCAATGCAGGTATCTGCAGCCCTTGAACTGCTGATTTCAGAACTGAGTGAAGATCCTTGGAAAGGGAAGGTGATTACATTTAGTGAAGAAGCTAAGCTTCACTTGATTGAAGGGGACAGCCTTTTGTCAAAGACTGAGTTTATAAGCAATATATTTTTGAGAGAAAATGCTGATTTCCATGAGGTGTTTGATCTTTTTCTGCAAGTTGCTGTTACTGCTGCCATGGAAGGATTGACAGAGGATGTAATGTTAAAGAGGGTTTTTGTTTTCAGCGATATGGAATTTAATCAAGCATGTTGTGGGTGGGAAACAGAGTATGAAGTGATAAAGAGGAAATTTAGGGAGAAGGGTTTCAACCATGTTCCGGAGATTGTGTTTTGGAACCTCAACCACTCCTCAGCTATGCCTGTGCCTTCTAACCATAGTGGAGTGGCACTAGTTAGCGGATTCTCCAAGAACCTGGTCAAGCTTTTCTTGGAGAATGGAGGCATTATTGACCCTGTTTCTGTGATGGAAAGCGCCATCTCTGGCGAGATGTATCAACAACTTTCAGTTTTTGATTGACTCTTACATACCACGGTTTGAATCCACCTTTCCAAATAATAATAATAAAAGTATAAAACTTGCCTCTTAATTTCTTGTTACTTCAATTATCTTCTCTGCCTTGTTTGTGTGATTGGACTATGATGAAAAAGAAAAAAAAGGAACAAGATTGATTCACCAAGGAAGGGCTGGTAATCTCAGATGGCCGCACTTCATTCCCCGGAATGATTCCTCCATTCTTTCTGCCGGGAGATTTCGTACCGCCAATGAATCCCTCAAAAGGAAAGATCCCATTAAGGAATTGGAGTTTTGGGGAGGAGATGAACTAATCCATAGGGATTTTGGTGGAGGAAGGGTCTCCCCTGCCTTGTACCCTTGTTCGTGGGTTGGAGGCAGCAGAGCATAAAAGCATTGCTTGGGGCATAGGCTCTCTATTTATATATATACATACAGGCACGTGTGTGCCATATTAGAAGAATCCTAATATACTTTTCCCATAAAAAGAAGAATATTAATTAATTGTCCATGTAATATATAGAGAAAATGGACATGAGGTGGAAATGGGGAAGGAGGGAGAAATGATGAAATTATTTTACTTGTGTAAATTTGCACTGAGGATGAGAGTGAACCGGGGAAGAATGAGAGGCGGCCAGGTCTGAGCAACATTGTGGCCGACATCAGCTTATGATTGCAGTATTTTTCATTTATAAAAGCATTGCTTAAATTTAGTGGTATAGGTAGTTATGGATGAAAGCATTTACAACATAATAATTTATTTTTAGTGTTATATTATTATATTTAATACTATTTTTTTATAAATTTAATTCTCAATTAAAATATTTAATCAAATAATATCTTTTTAATACATATAACAAAACAAAACTTTTAAAAATCCGTACCACTACCTTATTATTTCACCCACGTTAACCAAAAAAAGAAGAAGGAAAAAACAAAAAGTGGACAATTTTAGAAAAAAAGGGGAGCATCAGAGAAAAGCCAAGCAAAAGACAAAAGGTAGCTGCCATTAGGGTGAACCGTGTCAGTTAGTCAAAAGAATTGACCCCAATTTTGACCGAACTCAGCTCTGGTCAAAGAGCCAAATTCTGTGTGCTTTGCCTCTCCATTGCTGCCGAAGAGCTAAATTCGGTTACTGTGCCCCTGCCTGTATATATATATATATATATATATATATATATTTTTAACAAAGTATCACAGAGCTTGAATCCAACCTTAAAAAAAAAGAGTAGAATTACATTTTAATAAAATGATAAGCGTCACTCAACTCAATGATCAGGTGCATTTTAAGTTTTGATCTAATCAGAAAAAGAACAATACAACTTGAGACATGTTCTTAAGAATATATGAGCGTATAAATAATAATGGAGAATGAAAATAAATAAAATGAGGAGTTTGGTGTTTCACAATACAAATTATATTAGATTATTAAAAACACCAATCACTATAAAATATATTAATCATTAAATGGAGACTCTTTTTTAATATTAAGAGATCTTCTCTTAATGTAATAATTAGTATTTTGTAGTTTAAATTATAAAACACTTTTCATTAAATGAATTCTCTAATATTAGATTTTATTTAGTATGATTATAATTTTGGATTTTAATTCAAGTTTTTATAAATTTTGCAATTCTAAACAAAAAAAAAATTGTTTCCTTTCCCTTATTTTGACAACATATTATTATAATAATTAGATAAATAACAATAAAAATAATTTTAATATTATTAAATAAGTAAATAAAATAATTTTAATACAATAAATAAATAAATGTTTTTAATTATCAGTATAAATTTTGTTTTAAACAAATTTTTAGTTTTTAATTCAAGTTTTCAATAATTCAAAATTTATAAAAATTAAAAATAAAAATTAAAAATTACAACCATACTAAATAAAGTTTAACAATAAAACGTCCAAAGTATATGTATTCTTTTGATGATCCGAAGTATATGTATTCTAGTAACACAGGAAACTGCTTGTTTTGGATGCGAGAAAGAATTGCAACAGCCGTGCACACCAGACCTTTTTTAACTTGGAAAAGAGAAGGAAGAATCCAGTGTCAGTGATGCTGAAATTGCGCGCAAGGAGAAGCAAGTGTGGTTTGGTGGTCGGTGATCCTCTCATATAGTTAGAATATACAAGATCTACCCACCTTAGAAAAAAATGGGAAATTAATTAAAATAATATATATTTATAAATTTACCCATTCTAGAATGGAGCTAGAGCTAGCCTTCAAATTTAAATTTTGGATTTTCTATTAGGGTTTTAGTAACAACTACCGAATGAATCAATGCAAATTACCAATCATGTGTCCCAATGGTGATTATACTACTCATTAAGTAGTAGGTAAAATACACTTAACTTCAAAATTTGAATTCTTTTTAACAACAATAGATATTAACACTTAATTTAATCATTTATTTTTATAAAAAAAATATAAATTTTCAATTGTACAAAAATAATAATTAATAATTATGTTAAAAATTATTAGTAACTTAAAATTCGATCCAAAATGGGTGATTTCCCACCCTCTTAATTGAGGTGTGCGGCACATCAGACCGCACGATGAAACTCTATAAATTTCCAATTAAGGTCTTATCAGTTGGGTGTTAATGCCCATTCCTAGTCCAATATTGATAGAAAATATATTACTTATTTAATCGATGGTTGATTATTAAATTAAGCAAAGGAATAGTCCCGCCACCTCTTATGACAAAAATTGTGCTCAAAAACAAAAGATTTGTTTTACTGTGTTTGTTAGTTAGGTCTTGTTTGGTGTGGATTATTGGAGCTTCAGCTTTTAGATACTATTCATGTCTCATACATTTAAATTTTTCTCTTAAAAACTTACACTTTTAAATATTTTTTTAACCTCAAAAAGCTCTTAAACAGTAAAAGCTCAAAAGTTTCAAATCCAAAAATTTCATAAACTCTCTTTTTACTTACTTTTCACTTACTTTTTCACCTTTCTAAAAGCTAAAACTCTATTTTCTCTCCAATAAAAATTTAAACTTATCACTCATAACAGTACTCAAAAAGCTAAAGCTCCCACCAGCCACACCAAACAGGCTCTTAGTATCGTGGATGATAAGCTGAGTTCTTTCTTATTATTCACATCATGATGAACCAGAAAGATTAACATGTTAAACTCAACACATACCTTCTTCTTTTTTTCTTTTTTTTTTCAACACACCCTTTAGACATTGGAAATGAAACAATATATAATATAATGAGTTTAATATTTTATAATTTAAATTATATTAAACTATAAAATAAAAATTATTAAATAAAAAAATCTCTAATATCTAAAAATTTATTTTTATTTAATGGTTTGATTTATACAATTCAATATAATTTAAATTTATAATACTTTATTAATATAATAATAATAGAATTTTTACCCCTTTTTTTTATATATCTTAGTACTAGTATAATTTTACTATCTTCTATAATATAATACTCCTTTTAACTTATATAGACAATAATTAAAATTTTTTTTCTAATCTATATATAGTTTTTGTTGAGTATT